TCCTTTTAAACTGTTTCCAAATTGTTAAGAAAATATAAAATAATTACATTCTTTTTTTTTTGGTCAAAAAAAAAAAATTACATTCTTTATGAATTATTTTATCATCCATAATTGTAATTGTCCAAGATAAGATTTTCGAAAACAAATTGAATTTCGTAAAAGGATTTTCGCCGCTAAAAAACGAATTTAACTTGACTTCTCTTCGAATTTGGGATAGTATTCATTCTTTCCACTTACAGCTGCAATGAGCATTCTTGAGATAATAACCAAATGACTAAATAAAACAAAAATTTATTTTCGAAAAACCTTTTGACATTCAAATTTACGAATGGGCAGACTTAACGGAAAGAAAATGGGTTTAATTTTGAACATGGTTTAGTGTTTAGTGACCTTTGGAAAATGACCTCTCCTTGTACCGGATGGATAAGCTCCCAACAATATGTTCAACGGATGAACGTAAGATAGGTGATATCTCCGACATATGATCAGACGTATACCTGAGATCATGTACATGAGCTACATTTCATGGTTCTGCAACCAAAGAATGTCTATAGGAAATGCCTAGATCTCATGACCAGGTTTGTGTTTGAATGGTTAAGGTCGGATCACCCAATCCGCGGAAGAGTCTAAGGGACCGAAGCCACTAAGAAAGTTAACCATCTTCAATCATGCATGATAGAAAGTTTGATTCAAGAACACTAGAGTCTAAACAAACCACCCAAGACATTACAATCTCTAGTGACCCAAGATTGCAACAACCATGATTGGGTTATAACAAGAAAGCTACAAGATTTTCAAAAGCCTTACTGAAATAGCTGACAAAATCCATTACAATATCAAAGCTTCAAATGAAATTAAAAAAAAAACCCAACAGAATGATGCTCTTGCGTAGACATCATCGATCTTTAACGGTACTGCAAAGAAAGAAAAACCGATTGATTAAAAATTAACAATCTTTCTAAGAGATATGGGTTCAATCCCCATGGAGACACATTCGTTTGATCAATCATATAAACAAATTACCTTAATGAATCCGATTTCCTTGGCGTTGCTACGGAAACACTGTCTACAGCAGTTAAGAGCATACTTCCTGATTAAACCATGAGAGTTTCCACACACACGGCTACACGAAATCAAAGATATTACAAGCTTAGAGTAAGATTCTTCAATATCAACACAAACTATGACCATATATACATGTCCAACACAATTTTCTTGCACACAGAACCTATTACGATAATACCATGATAACATTTTGGTTTTGAATCTCGTAAAAAGGTTGAACCTTTATTGCTCTCTCTGTTTTACCACCCTAAACCAAAAACAGAGCTCTATTCAAAAGAATCTCATCATTTGCACTTAAATTAGCAAATTTAAAAGCTCCCCAAATCAAGTAATTCACAGATTTAGATGAAAGTCTTTCTCTTTTAGCACTATTCACAAACATAAATAGAACTCAGTCAAGTCCTCGGATCTAAAACAGATTAAAGAAGAAGAAAAAACTTGAGAGAAGAAAGTGGCGTTACCAGGTGCGAGATCCTGGACCGTACTTCTTGGGATGAGAATTCCAGATGTTGTCGTGACCCATTATCGCCAAATGCTCTGCTCACAGCCGAAAACTATCAGATGATGAAGACGAATGATGTGCGGCTGGAGAGAAAGAGAGAGAACTGAGCAAATATGTAAACCCTAGAGAGAAGGTAAAACTGGTGGCTCTTAAAATATGAATGGGCCTAATTACAAGACAAGCCCATTTTCATTTTATTTGGGTCTAATTGAGTAATTTACGTGATTTGAAGTGTATATATCATTATATAGGGATTGTTCGTAATTTAAAAATTAATATGATAAAATATGTAATAGTTTCTAGTTTATTGATTATTTATGAATTTAATATTAAAGTCATTTGGTGTTTATGGTAAATAATTATTTAGGTTCGACACTAAATATTTGTAACAAATTATTGATACAATGTTATATGTAAAAATAGCATTCATTAATAAATAATTTGTATATGAATTGACATAAACTTGTAGGAGATATTATGTGAGATAATACAAATGTAAAGTAAAGTTAAAAAATATGTTTGGTCTTTTTTTCTTGCATCAAATGCGTTCGTAAAGAAATTAATTGATCTACATCATCTCAACAGAAATATTGGAATGCGTCTCTATGTTTATTTCGTTCGAACTTTGAATCATAAAAAAAGAATAATTGTTGTTTGATTGTATTATTGTTTTTCTTTTGATTGTTTTGCTATGATTTTTATCTTTCACATCGATTCATTGGTGAAGTGAATTATGTTTTTGTCATCATGATAACAGTATGGAAGGAATAATAAAAATAAAAAGAGTTTACATTGTGTAATGTATTACATTTTGAGATTAATAAGATGAGTATTTCTTATTGTTGAGTTTTATAAGATGTGAGTTCTTATAGTATGACGGGTGATGCAGCCTCACAAACGGAGATTGCGTGGAGGATGGATGACTCGAACCGGCCGTACGGCACCTGTTGCGAGTCGGGTAGCGATGAACGATGGAAGCGAAGTGATGAACGAATCCGAGTGCTGGCCGTACGGCTCTTTCACTACGGATGAGAGATGATCGAGTGGAAGCGAAGATGGATCGAAGGTCACCACGAGTCGGATGGAAACAACTCGATACTGACGGACGAACAACTAGAAATCTCGGATTTCAAAAGTTGCTCAAGAAAATTCTTTAAGAGAATGCTTTTGCTTTATTGATCAAAGGTGAAAAAATTTACAAGGCTGTTAGGGGACTTATATAGTGGTCCGATCAGCTATGCCCTTCTAGGGGTCTTGACATTTATTACAAAGATTGATATCTAGCTAATTAAAACACAATCGGCAAAACAAATGCCCTATGCTACTTAAGGAAAGAAATTTCAAAACAAATTCAAATAAGGAAGGGTTAGTATCAAATAATTAAAAAGAATAATCAAAACTTACCTTAGTTGGATAGAGCCGTTGGAGCGCTTTGATTTGGACAGATCCTTAGCCTTCAATGCGTGATATTCCAAAGAAGGTAAGTGTCCGTTGCAAGTGGCCTTGGTGGGTT